TCACGAAGAGTCGGAGACGACTGAACGAATGAACAACAACAACATTTGTTGAACACCTTACTTGAGTATAATGTTCATTAAGTTATTGTGGTATCTTAGAAACTATCTGAGAGAAAGAAGTTGGTGGCTTTTCCCCCACTTCCTCAGGTGCCTAGAGTGAAGTGCATAGGAACAAACCTTTATAGGCAATGATAAATTATGGGTATGGTTATTATCCCTAAGCTAACTTCAAGTTTGATTTCCCCCCAGTGTTCCTTACTTCTAGAAGGAAACACATCAGGAAGGAGATCCAAAGCCTCTTAATTTTGCTATAGCAAAGAATAAAGAGGGTGCTTGGGGAATAAAATCCATAAATAGGCACACACTGAACAAAGCAAGCATGCAAGTATTTATACTGTATACTATTTTTTAAAAAAAAAGCTTACTTCTACATCAGAGATACATCACTACTTCATTGTTCATGTATCTTGAAGGATCTGTATTAGACTGGTCACATATACATATCCCATAATTTCTTTTTGCCTAATTATTTTTATTAAAATAAGAAACCCAGCACTCGTGTGTGTTGTTTAGCTGATATAATGAACTGTGAAATACAAATTTTCATAAACTTTCTAACATCTGAGGCCATTTCTATATATTACTACCCATTGTGAGGCTCGTTAGCTTTATTTATCCAGACTGGTTTTGCATTATTAATCTTTTGCAAAAAAAAAAATCCACTAAGAATATAGAATCCAAGGCCAAGGAGAGATATCTTTCAAGGGGGGCTAGGACAAGGTAGAACAAACAGATCCTTATAACTCTCTGGTTATGCACAGGTAAATTTCTATTTATGAAATTCTAGTTTAGTCATCTTGCCTATAATGGTAATGAGGTGACATGTTCAGTTTTAATAATGATTGTTTTGAGACAAAGGCAGGAGGAAAGATGTTGCCTAAAGCCAGAATTACTAGATAACCATATGAAGGATAGGAAGAGTAAGTTGAATGTAGTAGGATGCTGGCTATGAATCAGAAAAGAGATGTGATAAATTGACCAAGAAAGCACCCATGGGGCTTAGGTGTTAACTAGCTTTATAATACATATAGTGTGTCAAGAAACCATAGTATCTATTCAACCCAGTGTCTATATTCCAATTTTGTTGTTTCTTTTTTTAATCTTTCTTTGTAGTTTTTTGTTTGTTTGTTTGTTGTTAAGAACTACTGTTCTGAAGATGGAATGCCTTGAAAGATTGAAGTGTTTTTCAATTTGTTTTCATGTCTTTACATTTGTAATGTTTGATTTGTGTCCAGTTTATCCTCTGCAGTAGAGACTGGCTTGTTTGACCAAGGTAGAATGCTAAAAAAATGGTTTTTTTAAAAAAATACTTTATTGAATTTGTGGGGGAAGAAAAAAATTAGGGGGGTATATCTGGGTTGTGGGGAAAAAATCTATCTGGGGTGAAAATGGTAAAGTGGTTTCCCTACAAATGGGGGTAATAGTGAAGGGGTTGAAGGGAATAGGATAAAAAGGAGACGGGTAGTAAAAAAAATGACTTAAAAAAAGATAGAAATAAAATCTTGTGGACTTCCGAATCTTTTCCTGTCCGGGGTATTAGTCTTTTAAATATTAATTGTAGTTAATCTCTCCGTCTTCTCATATTTACTTCATTTCCTTTTGTTTTCAAAGAAGAAAAAAAGGCATTTAATAAAGTCTAATCCATAGGATTCTTGAGTTTGCTTTGATAGTCTTTCAAAAGATAAGTCAACCTGTCCATGTTCTTTATATCCGTTATTTTTAATTTCCAGTTTTCTTCTATTGGGTTTTCTTTAGTCTTCCAATTTCTTGCATATACAATTCTTGTTGACAAACAATGACATATTTTACATCAGAGGATAAGCAAGTGAAAAAACCTCTAATATTGTGGATAATGTGATTAGGTCCTCTGATGACATTTCCCGAATAGATGTGTAGGCAGAATTGACATCTAGGTTTGTGGCATGGTCTTGTACCTATCACCCCTTTCATGTTGTGTGTCCTCTAGTAAAAACATAATTGAGAAAGGGAGACTATCTGTAGGCAAGTAAAGGCCTGCCACTGAGAGCCTTTGAGAGGATAGCATCATTGTCCATAATACGTTGTTGTTCATTGATGGTATGTCTGAGTAATCGCGGTTGGATGTAACCTCTAGTGGGATTATGCCATTTCCTGTCTTTAGTCTGTTCTGGAATAAATTAGTCCTTGTTGATTTGTTTATTTTGACTAAATATGGTGCAAATGGAACAACAGCAAGACTCACTTAATCTTTAGTAAAGTGTTCCATAATCTAGGGGCCGCCATTGAGAAAACCATATTGATGGTGAAGTTTTATGATGATTTCAAATTATCTGGAGTAGCTAAAACAAAACAAAAGGAAAACAGTGAAGAACATTAAGACTAGAGGATAAGACTTAGAGTGACATGTGAATTTTAGTACATCACGCTAGGGCAAAAAAATTCTAACAACAACTGAAACCATGGGTGAAGATGCCTCTTTTTTGCTTCAGTTATTTTATGTCTAGTAGAAATACAATGAGAGTGCTAAGTGACTTCACCCCAGACATTAGACACCAGACACTCAACAGATGGTAACATATGTGAATTGTTGTTGATCTGAGCTGGATTAGTTTAGTGACCTAGAGGTGAAAGGCTATCTATCCCATTACTATATTCTGTTAAGACACCAGACACTGGGTTTCATTTGTAGAACCAACTAAATTAAAAAATCAGTGAAAGGGGATGGAATTGCTTTTGCTAGAGCATTAGCTGATGTTATCTATTGTATTCTGTTTTGTATGTACTTGTGCTAGTTTTAAAATATTTGAACTTGTGCCCGCTGACACATGGCGAAATTGCAAAATGTTTTTCAATTGCGTATTTTTATTTCACTTGTCTTTCTTACTAAAAGAAAGTCAAAATGTGTCACCTAATGAAAATTATGTATTGAGCTCATTGTTACTTCTGGAATAAATAACTTGTAACAGCTGAGGAATTAAGCTTTTGTTTTTAACTCCATATGTTGAGTGTCTTTCCTGCAGTCTGCTTGGTTTTAAGCTGGTTAATTTTTTATTATTGAAAATTCAAAAAACAACAACAATCAGTCCCTTGAATTCCAAACATGATGTTGAGCTCTTGCAAAGCTTGCTTTAAATACTGAGCTTGAAATACTAAAATGTGTTTAAAACATATATTTTTGTCTTTGAAATGTTAGTCTCATGAAAATAAGTCTTACTTTTTTATTAATTTAAAGTAATGCACCCTGGGCTAAAAAAAATGGTGGCTGTTGTAAAATAAATTTGCCTGCTTTACTGATTGAACTTTTGCCTCAATCCTGCAATGTAGTTCTTTTGTAACCTTATCTAAAAATGAATTATTGGTGAATAATAGAAATAAGCTTTGGAGAGTGATTTTTCTTTTAGGGTTCATTGCTCGTCAGTCATGTAATATTTATATATTTTATAGAATAAATAGAGCATGTTACAGTGAGTTTTGTATGGTAGTCCCAAAATTGTAGATCTTCCTTTTAAAGAAGCTCACACCCCCAATTAATTGTTGTACTTAAATAATATATTCAAAGCAGCGTTTATAGTGATATACCAAAGCATTTGAAATTTCTGTGTTCTATATTTACTTACAACAGTTTTCATTATTATTATTTGATACTTAACAAGAGTAGTACATAGCAAACAAGATCACTATGCTGGCTTTTGTATTTGATGACACATCAGACACTTCCCAAGTGTCTAGGACTGTGTGATGTATTGGCGAATAATGTGTGCAGATCCGAATAGGATGGCCTTTTGCAGCTGACAGATGGTTTTTAAGTGCCGATTGTTTTTAAGTACAGGTCAAGGTTTTTAGGCACTGCACCCAGTGTGCCGATCACAATTGGGATCACATTTATTGGCTTGTGCCAAAGTCTTTGCAGTTCTGTCTTTAAATCCTCATATCCTGTAAGCTTTTCCTGTTGCTTCTTGTCAAATCTGCTATCACCTGGGATTGCAATATTGACGATCCATACTTGTTTTTTTTTCTCCCTCCATGATCATGAGGTCAGGAGTATTGTGCTCCAAAACTCTGTCAGTCTGAATTTGGAAGTCCCAGAGTAGTTTGACATTTTCATTTTCCATAACTTTTTGATTATTGTTATTGTTATTATTATTATTATTATTATTATTATTATTATTATTATATTTATACCCCACTTTATCTCTCATGCAGGGGACTTAATATGCATGCTTTATCCTGCAATAAAGTTGAAATTATAAGCATACTGGCTAGAGAGTAAACTTTTTTGAACAGAATAGGGTTTACTTCCAATAAATCAAGATAGGATTTCACTAAGATTCTTATAAAATAAATAATTGTTTGTATTGCTTGTTAGGTTCCTTGTAGAAGGCAAGATCCAATTGTGTACTTTCATACCCATTGTGAGCAAAATCATAATCTTTCCATTGCAATACTGTCTCCTTTCTTATATCCTGAAGGATGTTTTTAAAGATGTGTCAGGGACTGCAGGAGGGGTAAACTGTCAATTTTTCCGGAATCAGTAAGATCCAGCAGAAGTACAACATTGGATCCTGGCTGTATATTTACATTTAAGTAAATGAAATCAGAGATGTTCTCTGTCCTTAAAGCCAAGCATGAGCTCAATAGACAGACAGATAGATACTGAAAAATAAAACATAGACTGTCAGAACACAATTAGCGCAATGTCATCTAGGTCTACTACAACAATTTCTCAATATGATTTTAAACTTAGAAATCTTCCAGTTCAGAGTTGGAAGGTTTCTAAGTCTGACCACAGACCTCCCCAGGATTATAACAAGGGCTCTACTATGTTTGTAGCTCCTGAAATTACTGAGCATTTGTTTATAAGACACTCCTGTTTTGCATTCAGCTGTACTATTGAAAATAGATGGAACACTGTCCTTGACACTATGTGTCTTTCTCTCCCCCCCCTCCCCCTCCCTTTTTAGGCACTAGATCAGGACAGAACTTCACTACAGAAAGTGAAAAAAGCTGTAAAAGCAATATATAATTCTGCACAAGGTAAGCTTCTTTTACAACACAGTGTTATTCAACAGTATTTGCAAAATGAATTGTGCTACTGACTACATTTCAGTGTTTAAGAAAGGTTTTGTTGGAGAATCCATTTGATCTGTTTGTCCTAACTAATTTTATTCTTTATTCTTGCTGTGCAGGTTTATAGCTACCATATTTTTCTCATGTGTCATAGCTGTAATTGTATTTAATTTTGTAAATAATAATTCATGGGGGAAATGTGAATTTTGTGACATGTTTGGAATGTGGAATATTTTGTATATACACTGAGCAACGGAACAAAAGTCATATGTATAGTAAAGAATGTTTAAGTACTTTAAAAACAGTGCTGCACAGCACAGGCTATGATCTTCTGGGACTGCAACTTCTAGAAACCTGAGACATCTTGTCCAATTGTCAGGAATTCTGAGAGCTGGAGTCCAAAACACCTGGAGGGCCATAGGCTGTGCACCACTATTCTAATATCTGCATCTTTTGTTTTCCTGAATTAATTTCCCAGAATCTCTCACCAGGGGCCATATTTTGTGGTGTTTTTGAAATCCAAAGCAGCTGGTGAACCAAAAGCTGAGGACCCCTGATTTAAATAGAGCAAAATTGTCAAGGATGGCTTTAGCATGAGCACATGGGCTTGGCACTCATTCCACTCAACCATTCATCCTTTTGTATATATAGCCTAAAGGCAACATTCCATAGTAAGAAGTAGCCTTTTCTGAAGCAGCAGGTTTTATCAGAGACTAAAAGCCAAACACTCATTTCGCTAGCAGTCTGAGAATACCATTAGAAAACACACTGTGTAAAGACTGTATTGTTATAAATCATGACTGTATTCAATAAACTTCTCTTCATATATTCACCATCTTATTTTTGTTGTTGCTATCTCATATACTGGTGAGTTTACAACAGGGATGGCAAAAACATGGCCAGGAAGCTTTGCATTTACCATGTAGACATTTTTTTCAACCCCCAAGGACCCCCACTTTTGCAGAATATTTTAGTGCTTCCAAATGGCCAATAGCATGGGGCAATTATGCTTTAACGCATTCCAGACTTTTCCCATTTTTAAAAATGTTCACTCCTGGACCTAAAACAACTCGATGGAAGGGTGAAAATTGTCTTTTTAAAAAAATCAGTCTGGAAGGCTGTGAAGTCAATGTGGAGTTAATGCAGCTCTCTGAGGTCTGGTGGTCGGTGTGCATGGTCCCAGTCATCTATAATTTGCTCACACCTGCATTGATCCATGCTATAGAAAATATTTCCATGCGGCTGAATTGTTTTGGTGAAATGTCGGTTTCCTTGGAATATTTGTATTCCCAATATTTGAAAATGTGGAAGGCATCTTAAATATCTGTTTTTTATGTTACTATCAAAATAATTTAAGAATTTAACTAGCAAATATATTATGTGTATTGGAAGCACAAGAAGTTTTTCATTCTTAGCCGGTAGAAGGAATTTTAAAGTAGCCCTTCTAATAACATCCTGGATATTTCAGTGCAGTAACAATATGGGTTGTGCATGCTTGTGGACTTCCAGATATTGCTGAACTTGTGGTCTTGTCATCCCTCACGGTGGATTATATTGGCTAAGGCTAACTAGTTTGGAGTCCAAGAATGTCTGGAATGTTCCCCAGCTTGGTTAGAAAGCCTTAAAATGACCAAATTGCTATTTCCCATGAATGTTTTTTTTTAAAGTTTAGTTTATGTATACAAGTGGGCATAGTCCATTACATAATATAGTTTGCATATAAGCATAATTACATAATGTAGATTGCAGATAGTCAAGTAAAGTTTAGTATCTAATACTTTGAGCAAGTGAAGACTCAGAATAAATTTGGAAGTCTGTCAAGGGATTGAGGAAAAAGAATGTATTCTTCCTTCCAATACATACAGTAGCTATGTCAACATTTATAAAGATAGACAACTGGCTGGTGTTATGTCAGTATGCTAATGAAAGTAATGATGAAGATTCCTAGTTGATTAGATGAGAAGTAATTCCAGATTTCAGTTAAAAACCATGTTAAGCCAAAGCTAATGTGTCATCAAACTTAGTTGCTCTGCGGAGGTGTTTAAATTCACCTTATTAACTTTAATTTCTTGTCTGTCCATCACATCCGAAGCAAGCAAACTTGCCTGTGCTTTTGTTGAACAAGCAAGATGGAGAAATCCAATATTGGTTCTTGGTTTGACATCATAAATAATGGACCAATGCCTTAGGTAGTTCAGCTGTCATAGAAAAGCAGAATGACTGATTTATTATTTCTCACTCCTATTCAGTTCAGAGCAAGCAAGAAATTCTGCCAAACAAAATAAGAACTCGATGCAAAAGAAATGTAAGAAAGGAGAGAAACTGGTGCTGAAGCAATTGATGCAGCTGTCTTGTTGATTACTGGTTCAGTGCTGCTTTTTCTTCATTCTCGTCTTCATTTTACTCAGCTGATAAGAGAGCTGAAAAGCTGTCACCTTCTGGTTCTGCAGAATGTCTCAGTAGCATTGTCACTTAAAATACAGTGCTATGCAATGCTATGAGTTTTTTTATTGGAAGTCCTATTTATTTATCTCTACCAGCCCCACTCAACATTGACTATGTTAGACAGGGATGATGCAGTGCAAAGAAGGCCTTGGGTGATCTTACGGATGCTGTAAATTGTAATACGTATCAACTCTGAGTATAGGCAGTGTTCAGTAAGGATGGAATTGTAGTTCCACAACCCAAAAAGGGCCATATATTTCCCATTTTGATGAGTTGTAAATTTAATTCTGACCATGTTGCCATCATAGAGTTTCTAACAACGATGTCTCAGTGTGACCTGGAGCCTCCTGCGCATTAGTGTTTGGTTTTGGAAAAGGAAATCTGATTATCACACTGAGTATTTGTCCACTTAATCTTTCAAGCAAATGCAGCTATGTTTTAAGGCTTTCCATGTCAAAAAGGAGTCAATTTTTAAAACCAAAATCAACCTCTGATTTATCAAAAGTTTCAATATGCAAAATAAGGCAAAACTAATGGAACATGTGATGGTTTTATTGCTCAAGGCTTGCTGATAGACTGCAAATGTAAAGTAACACTTATACAGTTAAGACCCTATTTAAAATGGTGTAAGGCATCTGTGCAGGTGATTGTATCCTTTAGCTGCTGGTCGTTCGGCATTCCCCATCTGTTAATTGCTCCCTGAAGGCAGAGGAGCCCTAAAAATGTGACTGTGTATTTCCCAAGGAAGTATATTTAGCCTCTTCACTGTTGTCCTTCTACTTATAAGCAGAGGAACTTTTGTTCAGGCAGGCCTTAAATGAAACTAAATGAATGTCTTTGTTTTTAAACATGATAATGTTTGTATTAAGGCAGTGCTTTTAAATGTTTTAATGTGTAATTAAATTAAAGTGTAATTTGGTATTTATAATTAGCGGTGTTTTATTGAGATGTTTTACTATGTTGTGACCTGCTTTGCCTGCCTTCCCCGAAAGGAAATTGGGGTGCCTATAATAGAATATATTGCATCATATATCAATTGTATTATAGTCAAGCAGTATAGATATAGTTCATATCTCCTTATATCTTTTCTCTGATATCTAGGGACAACTGTTATTATGGTAGTTCACATATTTATGGAGCTAAATAAAAACATTGTAACAGTGATAATCTGATATCAGAGAAAAGATAAAAGGATATATGAAGTATAAACTAAACTGCCTGACTGTAATATGACGCATGATGCTGTTTAGTTTCTCCTTATTGGGATTGTCTTTACCTGTTTTTTGGTTGCACTTTCCAGTCTCATGTGCTTGTTTAAACTTACAAACAAATTTAACTTAAGAAAAAACCTACAGAACCATAAATTGGGAACTGCCTATCCTCCTATTGTTAGTCATCTGTCACTTGCCACAAATATTTATTTATTTATTAATTTTTTACAGTTTTTATATTCCACCCTTCTCACCCCGCAGGGAACTCAGGGCGGATTACAGTATACACATATATGGCAAACATTCAATGCCAGTTTGACAGACAACAAATACAGACAATACACAGAGGCTATTTAACTTTTTTCTGACCGCCAGGGGAGCTGCTGCTTTCATCGTCCATCAGCGACACCGATGAAGTTCTTCCGCATTCCACATTCCCCAGAGTTTTCTTTATGGCCTCATAAATTAGTTAATTTAGCCTCCCACACAAGGTGGTACCTTATTTTCCTACTTGACAAATGCAACTGTCTTTCGGGTTGCAAAGGTTGACAACAGGCTACACAATGGCTGGACACCCACTCCAGCCCGGGCTGGCTTCGAACACATGACCTTTTGGTCAGAGGGATCTTAATGCAGTTGACACTCAGCCAGCTGCGCCACAATCCCGGTGCCAAACCATAGCCACTTTTTATAATGGATTTGGCCAAAGAGGGATTTTTACATTGTGGCATCAAAATGTGGTGGCTTCATGCTTTTTTATAAATCTTAACACTACTCACATCAAACCAGTACGTCATTACAAGAGATTCCTGTGATACTGTTTCAGCTTTTTCACTAAGGAAAAAGCATGGTGGGGTGGGAAGTGTCATATTACCATGGTGTTATGTCCCATAGCATTATTCTCATTCCTCTTCACACATGTCTTTTCTTGCCAGTTTTACCAAAATCATCAGTTTTCAGATTTATCACATAAGCCAGTGTAGTCCCTGCTCACTCCTTTTTAAAAGAAAAAACCTTGGGAGGAGAGCTTATGGGATACTTGACTTTCCCCTCTGATAATGCTACTCTAGAGTAGACCCAAACAGTTATTCTTAAATATGGCATCACTTGAGGAGAAACCCGACTTTCCCCTCTGATCCCACTACTGTCGAGTAAACCCAAGCAGGTGATCTTTCACCTTTTATACCAGACTCCACTTGGAGGGAAATCTGATTTTCCCCTTGGATCCAGCAAATCTACAGTAGACCCAAGCAGCTGATCTTACACCAGACATAACTTGAGGGGAAACTTGACTTTAAAAAAATTACGATGCTAGGCTCATTAAGCAAGATTTTTGGAGAGAAATGTAATTCTTGGTAGCAGACTACCCATGGGAATGCCCCTTATACAATGTCACTGCAGCTATTCAACCGAGGCAAATTTGAAAGCTCCTATCCCACATATGTGTTGGGTGTTTACTCCAGTTATATCCCACTTCCTGAGTCCAGAAGAAGGTCTATGTCCATCTTCTCCTCCCTCCCTTTTAAGGACTGTTTTAGGTGTTTGATGTAGCTGACAGGAACTTCCCCTTCCTTGTTGGAAGGGCTCCGTCACAACTTTATTCCCTCAACGGATTCAAAGTGTTTAGAAAGGGGAGTGCAGTGTGGGATAAAGTCCAGAGTTTTTATTACTAAGCCATTCTTCAAGTCCTTGTTTTGAAATCAACTTATTAAGCTCCATTTACCATTTCAAGACCAAAGGGCTGCTTGGAAAATATCTTGCTTGTTAACAGTGCAGCAATCTTACTTCAGACAATACAGAATTGCAGTGCTTAAAAAATACAATGAATCAACAAATGCTCTTCTGGAACAAATGTATTTTGTCAATATTCGTGTAATGTATCATTCCTGAAAAGTAAACACAATTGTGTACTTTTCCTTTCAGAACATGTCCAAAATGAAGAAAACTATGCACAAGTACTAGATAAGTTTGGAAGTAACTTCTTAAGTAGAGATAATCCAGATCTTGGCACTGCTTTTGTAAAATTTTCCACATTGACGAAAGAATTGTCAACACTGCTGAAAAATCTGGTAAGGATTTTTTAAATTTTCTGCTTCATCAAAACATTCACATTTTAAACCAGGATTGTTTTCTTAATAATTTATAAATGCTGATTTATATAAGTGGCCTCAACTCAAAAACAGTTCTGATTTTATGGAATCAGTGTTAGATTTTAGATTTATCATATTTCTTGGACACTGGAATTATATGTGTAGTCACAAGATGACAACAAAGAGAACTGAATCTGATTTGAATAGGTAGAAAAATTCTAGATGAAACTAAATCTATACAGGTATGATAATACATACTGCGGCAACCATTCTAATGGTGCGGTAGTCTCTCTTGTATCCCTAAATTCTTTTTAAAAATCCATTTCCTGAAACCTTTAGACCATAATTCTCAACCTGTAGGTCCCCAGATGTTTTGGCCTTCAACTCCCAGAAACCAACTGGGATTTCTGGGAGTTGTAGCCCAAAACACTTGGGGACCCACAGGTTGAGAACCACTGCTTTAGACACCCAGACAGCAAGTCATCTGTTGCTCAAGAAAGTACATGTGTAAAGCTACAGAATATTTTTCTGGTTAAATATAGAAGAACTATCCTGGAAATGTAGACATTCTGATACTCTTTATTTTCATTGACAGTCAATCAGTTCATATGTAATGCCAATCACTTTTTATGCTCTTACCTTGCCTCCTATCCTCTCATCCTTCTCTTTCTTCTTATCAGTTCTGCTATATGAAACTGAATTAGAAACCACAATTTGCTGAGATATAAATTGTTGAGGTTCTCTTGCGGAAGAGAGCATTTATCTCCTTTTCTGTTAACCAACATACAGATCACAGATAGGCAATACCTTCATTAGGCTAACAAGAAGGCATTACACTAGCTTTCAAAACTCACTGACTGCTTCTTCAGGCAGAGGTGGCTACAAAAATCACAGGGAGGATATGAAAGTGACAGCCTTCAGATCTGTATCTTTTGTTTCTAGATGTTACAGCATGTATATTTTTGTGGAGTCAGAAGACAAAACGCTGCCTTCCCCTGCCCCAAGAGAGGTTGAGGAGCAATAAAAGACAAACACCATAAATTTTGGTTGTTCCTTACTAATATAAAGTCTCTTTCCTTGAGATACGTTTTGACCCTGTCTAATGAAGTCACCCATCCTATTTTGGCAGAGTCCACTGATCTTCCCAGAAAGATTCCATTTTGCCAGTTCTGGAAATTTATTTTGGTGTGACAAGCATTGAAGTCAGCTTAGATCATTCGTTCTTAAAAATCAAGTCTCTGTGTAGAATGACAAACAGCCTTCTCTCTTTGGATTAGGATTTCTTTGCTTATAGCAGAATTAAATACCTTTAAATCGTAAAAGTGCATGAGTAGCTGTGTTGATAATTTACCAGTATACAGAACTGAAAATTAACTTTGGTGATTCCTTTATTAAGTTAACCAGAGGCTGCACAAAATATTAAGTTTCCTTTTGAAGGTCACTGTCAGATATGGTTTACAAAGAATCGTGCAAAATTGAAATGGGTTGGAGTCATTGAGGGAAGATTTTGATACATGCAATGGCAATCTTATGGGAAGGGAAAAGAAGGCTGTTTCCTTTGTGGATAATATGGAGGATCTGCTGTTCCAAGCATCATGGAAATGATGACATGTTCTTCCAAATATTTGTGAACATAAATTCTTGGAGATATTACTTAGTAATATGGAATATTTTATGCTGTTTAAGAGACATGCATTTCTAAGGAGGGAAAGATGAATAGGAAAAATGGCTGACATGATTACAATCAGGAAATAGGAGGCCAGCTTATGTTAAAAGCATCTATTGAATTAATTTCTGTAGATAGACCGGAAAATAGCAGGTGATTTTATAACACATTTTATTAAATGTATTGGGAAGAGCAGAACTTGACTTGTACCCTGTACCTCCACATCCATCTGTTCTTTGAAAATGCTATTTTAAACAAGTAGAAGTTGTATCAGCTAATGGGTGCCACAATGTAGAAACATCTGAAACAAGAGTAATAGTTTTTTGATACATACAGTCAGAGGAACAGTCAGGTGTTCCTCTTTTCCTCATGACATCCTATTTCTTTCTTCGTGTTTATTATTGTGCAGGCTTCAAAGCACCTCAATAAAAATAAGAGGGATTTTTTTTCCATTTTAAAAGGCCCAGTATATTTCAGGTTATACACTTCGGCTTTTAGAGGATCATCCTTAACTCTGTTATTGGGGAGTAAATTGTTCCCTTTCCACCCAAAGAAAAGCATTTTCTCTCCTGAAAAGTTGACAAAAGAAAATACCTTTCCTAAAAGCGTTGATGTTTAAAAAAGCTTTCAACTATTACATGGAGTAAAAATAACATTCTGAAGCCTACTTGTAAAAGCATTTCGCTTTTTCATGCGCTGAGGCAATTTTGTGGTAGTGGTGCTATTTTGTTTTGGAGAAAAACTCAATCTTATGCAAACTGATCATTTAGTGAGGATAGTTTACATTTCTTATGTTAATAAACATAAATTGAAGCATGGCAAGAATAGTTTTTCTAGCTCAGGTTCATCCTTTCAATACTGAATAGCACTGCTTATTGTTCTTAGCTCCAAGGATTGAACCACAATGTTATCTTCACGTTGGATTGCCTTTTGAAGGGAGATTTAAAAGAAGTCAAAGGGGTAAGTGTTTGGATTTGATAACTACAGCATTCTAGGAATGGTTTCTTGGGTTTTGCTGCTTTCCTGTCAGATTTCTTGTGATGACACTGTCAAGTCTGCATGAATCTCTGTAGAATAGCTGTTGTAGAGTAATTGTAATTGCATGCTTTTACTTCATGTTCTTTAAAGATGTATGTGCCTTAAGATCCATGGGAAAGAAATGCTTTAAAAAAGGAAAGCTTTTCTTTTTTTTCTTCAAAAAAGGCATTTATAATCTTGGAATGATATCTTAAGTATACATTTTGACATACCAGTGTCATAAACATATTTTAAGTGCATTTTCTCTTTCCTAAGGATCTTAAAAAGCCTTTTGACAAAGCCTGGAAGGATTATGAGACCAAATTGTAAGTATGTTCATTTTGCTGGATAAACCTTTGTATCACATTGAAAGTGAATGACTTGCTGTCTTTTCCACCTTTGAGCTTTATTGGGGATGCCAGTCACTTATTTAGGTCTTGAAAGATGGTTCCTAATTATTTACCATGCAAATGATGGGTGTACTGTATACATCAGCCATGTATATGAAATTACTTCTGTAGAAAAACAGTTTGCCTCCTGTGGTTTGTTTCCCATTGAGTAAACGTGTGTATGACATGATCATTACACATACTATTATGGAAAATATTAACATATAGAAAATTACCTTGATAGACTCGGCACACTCATCAGTTGACTGGTTAAATATGTAGCTCTTTGACAGTGATAACTTCATTTGAGAATGCCGCTGGCATAACTTTTCCAACTATCTGTGGAATTATACACCACCTTGCTTTTCTGCGTGTTCGTATTGCTATGCTGACTGATGGGCTTGGGAACTAGATAGAAACTGAAGAGGCGCTTCTTAGGGCAATGGGTGAGCGCCTAGCCTGCTTTGTTCTCCAGTTCCTTTCCCATTGGCAAAAATGCCAAGTTATTCACATTATTGAAGCAGTAGATCACTTGGTTCTTCTTTGAGTCCCCTTCATGGGGAGAGGGGCTTTCTCCCACCTGGTGCATCAAAAAGGCTTTCCTGTTCCTAGAATAGATGAAATTATGGTTCTTACAATTAATTGTACTGGGTCAGTTACGACGATAGCTTGCCCTCTATCCCTACAAACCTTACAGAGCAAATCTCGCAAAACGACATAGCTTCTACCATGTGGCTACCTTAAATAACTGTAGGCATCTCTAAATGACTTTTAATGGCATCCAAAATTATTTGAAAGGTGAGGAAAGGAGCTCTGAATGGTAATTTTGACTCCTTCAGGAATGCAGTGTTAAGAAAACTTCTTTTGAAATAATGACTGACTGTGTTTTTTGTAAACAGTACGATTTTGAACAGTTTTGATATTTAGTGTCTGCTCTCTCTAACACAGTGTTGTTGAGCTCTTGTCAACATCTTGACCAAGTTTTTTTTAGCATACAAAATGGAGCGACACAAATGGCGATGGTGCCTTGTTTACACCATATGGGTTCACATAGTCTTTGTTGTGTTGTAGCTCTGATCATGGTGTATCTAGTCATCAAGTTTTTGAATATATACATGAGATTGTTTGTAGCTCCAGGTCATCATCTGAGCAAAACACTAGTACCCTTGGAGATCCAAGAAAACAGGATGTTAAGGCTCATCTTATCAAGGAAATACAAACAATTGGGGAGGACTGTTAAGCATGTTTATTTGAATTTACATTTACACAAAATTACATGCAGAAATTAAGGTTGGGTTCATGACCTCAAAGATTTTTTTTTTTTACAAATGTACATGAAGCTAGAACTGCTTTCAAAATACACTCCTTTTGGAAACAGTGAATTCCTGATATATGCTATTTGTGAAATGCCCTGGAAGCATCAGCACTCTTCTTATATCTAATATTTTACTCTCACTGTTGTTATAATATCATCTTATGGAACCGTTTGGGGCTTTGTTCACTGAGTTTTAGCTAATAATATACCTTATTTATATTTTGCGTTATCTCCCTGGAGGGACTCAGAATGGATTACAATACACATGTAAGGCAACCATTCAGTGCCTTTTTACACAATGACATATAATACAATACACATACAAGGTAAAGGCCTTTGCCTTTTCATCTCTGGTGTCTGGAGGCAATGCTCAACTCCGGACATGGGGAGGTTCTCTTGTTCCACTTTTCTATGCCGAGGAGACTGTTATCCATAGACACCTCCAATCGTGTTTTGCCAACATGTCTGCATGTGATGCCCTCTTACCTTCCCGCTGAGGTGGTACCTATTGATCTACTTGCATTGCATGCTTTCAAACTGCTATATTGACGGAAGTTAGGGCTGACAGTCAGTAGCTCAGCCCGACTTGCTGCTTCAAACTGCTAATCCTCCGGTCAGCAGTTTTTCCTGCAGCTAGCGGTTTAACCCACTGTGCCACCACAGCCCCAGGTACTGTGGACACAGCCAATATCAAAAAGCTGTCTACCTTCTTTCATCAAAGGCTGTCTCTAATATATGAGAAGAGTGATACTTCTAAATAGTAGGAGACAAGACAGCATCCCCCCAAGTAAGAATAAATTGTAAGCATTATCTGAATTCTCTTCCATCAGAATTCTTCTAAGGAACATTTTCATATATCTATCTAACTTATCTATCATGGGAAAAGTCTGAAACTATATCTTTATATGACTTAGGCATAGGTATACTGAATCATTCTTGGCATAGCCATATTTGATTTCTTAAACACCCAAGTCCTTCCAATCATCACCAGAACAGTTTCCAAAAAAAATCTGTAATGGGGACATCTGATTGCTTAAGTTTGTTCTGAAATTTGTAAAATATTTATAAGAACCTGAGTTGTTTTTAAGGAAACAGAAATTAATTTAGCTCCATGTTGGATGTGATCTTCTAGAGTTTCCCATGTTTCCTCAATATATGTTTTTGCAATTACAGCACAAAAATCGAAAAGGAAAAAAGGGAACATGCAAAACAGCATGGAATGATACGGACAGAAATCACTGGAGCTGAGATAGCAGAAGAAATGGAAAAAGAAAGACGGCTATTTCAACTCCAGATGTGTGAAGTAAGTATCAGCTGTAACTCTTAAAAATGGCTATGGGATGTATTTACACAACACTCAAATGTAGCTAGAGCTAATGAAAATGGGATTCAAACAAGAATGAAACTGCTGGTGTTCCTGTGTAAAGACATAAAGTAACCTGAACCTTTCAGTGGAGGATTGTTGTTGTTGTTATTATTATTATTATTATTATTATTATTATTAAACTTTATTTGTACCCCGCTAGCATCTCCCGAAGGATTCGATGCGGCTTACACAGGCCGAGGCCTCAACACACAACACAACAATACAATCTAAGCAAATCAAACAATTAAAAACAGAATAAAGCAAAATAAACAACAGGCACAATACACTAAACACAATAAAACTGGGCCGGGCCAGAGTAATGGGTACAAGATTAAAAATGCTGATGTGACAGGAGGTGTATATAGGGCTTCCAGGGCAAGTGCGATGTGCAGCAATCATTGGTTCTGATAAAGTGCTTATGGGACTTGGTAGTGGAGATTTCCTAATCTGGGAAGGCGCATCGGAAAAGCCAGGTCTTCAAGTTCTTTCTGAAGACAGCCAATGTAGGGGCCTGTCTAAGGTCTTTGGGGAGGGTGTTCCAGAGTCGGGGGGCCACCACGGAAAAGGCCCTGTCCCGCGTCCCCACCAAGCGCGCTTGCGACGCCGGTGGGATCACGAGCAGGGCCTCTCCAGATGACCGAAGTGAACGTGTGGGTTCGTAGATGGAAATGCGGTCACGCAGGTAGGCTGGTCCCAAACCGTTCAGGGCTTTGTAGGTAAGCACCTGCACCTTGAATTGGGCTCGGAAAATAAATGGCAGCCAGTGGAGCTCCTTGAACAGGAGGGTTGACCTCTCTCTGTAAGGGCCCCAGTTAGCATCCTGGCTGCTGATCGTTGGACCAGTTGGAGCTTCCGAGCCGTTTTCAAGGGCAGCCCCACATAGAGCGCGTTGCAGTAATCCAGTCTAGAGGTGACCAAGGCATGGACCACCCCGGCCAGATCAGCCTTCATGAGGTACGGGCGCAGCTGGCGCACAAGTCTCAGTTGTGCAAAAGCCCTCCCGGACACCGCCGACGCCTGAGCCTCAAGCGTAAGCGTTGAATCCAAGAGGACTCCCAAACTGCAGACCTGTGACTTCAGGGGGAGTGTAACCCCGTCCAGCACAGGTTGCCACCCTATACCCCGGTCAGGTCAGATTGTTGCACCATAGACCTTTCTGTGGAGAAGTGAAATGCTTCACTACTCAAGCAATCTTACCCTACATTTGGTGAAGTCAGTAAGTTGTCTCAGTGGAGCAGGGTGAGCATTTTCAGTTTTAAAGCAGCTATGAGCCATAATTAATACAAACAAATTTGCAGTGAGTTTTGGACTTGTAAAGGAACTATGACTGCAAGCACACCTGACGTTTGTGTCTTCGTATACATACCCAGCTGTTCAGCTTTAGATCCAAATGTGCCAAGGGTTTATTTCAGTGCAGCACTTCACTATAATGCCTGATCTCAATGCAATTAAGTATATTCTCTCCTATTTTTTTTAAACTAATTAGATGTATCAGAAGGGATTACTGATTGAACTGAGGTTGCAGGAAAACAACAGCTGAAAAAATGTTTACAAAGTTCGTCACAGTGGTTGACTTAATTGCTTTTAAATAAATTTAAGCTTACTGTTTCATATTAATTTATTCTGTATACGCATAGATTTTAATCACAGTATTTGCTGAGTGTTTTTAGATGTCAGCTACAAAGCAACCTCCAAGATAATAGCTGAGTTTGTTTAAAACAGATTAGAAACGGAACCTGCATTTGAACAACGCTGAGATGGCACAATGTATAATTATCCTACTGAGTTTGGTTTTCCTCTCTACAGTATCTCATTAAGGTTAATGAAATTAAGACAAAGAAAGGTGTGGATCTTCTACAGAATCTTATAAAGTATTATCATGCACAATGCAAGTAAGTACAATCCTTCAGCTATTTTCTTTGGTACATCAGTTTAAATCTGAGCACCCTTTTTGTCTTGATAGAGTAAATGTGCAAGATTCTAACATTTTGTGCTTCAAGAATGGGCAAAATGGGCGCCCAGAAAAATTATTTTAAGTTTTTATTAAACAAACTCCCCTTACACAGACATGGGCAAACTTTGGCCCACCAAATGTTTTGGACTACAACTCCCACAATTCCTAACAACCTACCAGCTGTTAGGAATTGTGGAAGTTGTAGTCCAAAACACCTAGAGGGTTGAAGTTTGTCCATGCCTGCTCTAGAAGCTATATTGAGGAGGTTCACCAGAATTTGGTACTTCTTGTTTTGGGGTTCTGGAATAGCAAAAAACAAAACCACGGATAATTACTAAATGTTATGCTTGCAGTAAAGACAAAAATGTAAAGGGAGAAAGCCCATTACTATCTGACTTCCATTTCTTCTCTTCTTGTTCCCGTGTCATATGTTTTAAACCATACTCCTCTGTGTCTAAGCTTCTGGAAGACATTCTTGATTGAATATTCTATGTCTCTGGTTCTGTACCATAGACTCTACTGGGCCAAAGATCCAATTAGTTGCTGCTGGAGCACATAGCGGCCAATTTTTTAAAGTACAAATCATTTAAAAAAATCAGAATAATGGTTGGACAATTACTGTATGTATTCAAGCATAAGCCTAGTTTTTCAACTCATTTTTAAGGCTGAAAAAGCCCCCCTCTGCTTATACTCTGGTGAGGTTACTGGTGGGAAGGTGTGGGGCTGAAAGAAGGGCTTCTTTCAGCCCCACGCCTTCCTGTCAGGACCCTCACCTCCCTGCACAGCAGCCCAGCTCTCCTTCTTCTCTCTCGCGGAGCACATGCTTTCCTCTCCTCCTTACTTGGTGCCAATCTTTCCCACTTTTCAAATGACATGTAGTTGTTTATTGAAATGCAAGTTCAGAAAATGTGAGCAATGTGTTTCCATTAAGAAATCAAAGAACAATGTTGATTTTAAAACTGTAATATTTTTTGTTTCAGTTTCTTCCAAGATGGTTTGAAGACAGCTGATAAATTGAAACAGTACATTGAAAAATTGGCTGCTGATTTATATAATGTAAGTTATTCATAAAATGAGAATATTATCTGTTTTGGTAACTTTTCTCTCTTCTTTGTAGTATCAGTGCTTCACAGAAACGAGTGTTTGTGCCTATGCAGAGATCCTTCCAGGTTATTCTAGGACTGAATTACTTAGTAGACAAACCATACATGTCCTTAACCTCCAAGCTACTGTGTCCACTCTCTGTCCACTCTCAATTCTGTCATTATGCCCCAGAACTGAGTAGCTTTTGTTTTCTATTTCACTCTCTTTTGTTTGTCTCAGTTTCGCATATTTCTTTCCTTTCTATGTCTGTATCTGCACTACCCTTTATCCCAGCAGTGGATCCCAGATTATCTGATTTGAACTGAATTATATGAGTCTACGCTGCCAGATAATCTGGGATCAGATCCTGGGATATAGAGCAGTGTAGATCCAGCCTCTCTTCTGTACCGCCAAAACAAAACTTTTCTTTCCCTCGCATTCTCTCTCGCCCTTTTCCATCTTTGTTCTGTACTTCATTATTCAGAAATTGTTCCTTGTGTGGGCAGAAGATGTCCTTCCCTGATACAGAGAATAAATACAGACTGTTTTTTTTTTTCTGTTTGGAAAAAAGACATAAGGTTAAATAGTGTTTGAACTGACTTAGATTTTCTATGTAGATTCTGAAAAAAGAGCCTCTCATCTTCAGCCCACCTTAAGAAACAAGATTTCTTCCTTCGCTATTGTGGCAGATCAGCCAGTAACTGGAGTTTCTTGTCTCCTGGCAGGGGGTTGGACTGGATGGCCCACGAGGGCGCTTCCAACTATTTGATTCTATGCTTTCTTTATTAATCCAATAATGTTAAAGTTCTTGAAAGAATTGGTGCATCTTTATCCCCTTGTCTCACCAACAATCACTCCATGGTCACTCCCTCTAGTGCTTTCACAATTAATAGGCTGTCCCCTTGAGCCTCTAACTGGCAATAACAAATTATTGTCTCATAACCTTATAATGTTGTATCTCTATTTGCTATTATATCTGCAGAAATGTGGGAGAACACATGGCTCTTAGCCATGACAAGCCCTTTCTCACATTTCATTGTGACAAAGCTGTCGTATGCCCTGATGTTACATTTCTATCAAAAGTAGTGTCCTATTTTCATCTCAATCAAGACATTGTGTTACCTTTCACCCTCAGAGATTTTATAAATTTTCAAAATGGTAAGGAGGTGTTTGGCTCATAATTCTCCTCCCATGCATCCTAGATGGAGGCTCTTGAGTTTTTAAATTGTTGATGAAAGGTGGTGTTCACCATCCTGGTGAATTCTTGCTTTTATGGTTGAGTCTATTATTATTATTTGATACACAACAAGATTGGTACACAGCAAACAAGATCACTATGCTGGCTTTTGCACACGTCGGACACTTCCCAAGTGTCTAGGACTGTGTGATGTATCAGCCAATAATGCGTGCAGATCCAAATAGGGTGGCCTTTTGCAGCTGATAGATGGTAATTTTGTCAGCGCTGATTGTTTTAAGCACTACATCCAGTGTGCCAATCACCACTGTGTCCACCTTTACTGGCTTGTGCCAGAGTCTTTGCAGTTCTGTCTTTAAATCTTAATATTGTGTAAGCTTTTCCTGTTGCTTCTCATCATCATCATCATCATTGTTGTTATTGTTATGATGTTTATTTACATCCCGCTTTTCCCTCCATATGGAGACCCAAAGTGGCCCACAACTAAACTCATTGCAATATAACTTCAGCTATACAAATATACAATTATCTAAACAGTATTAAACATGATTAAAAGCATATAAAATCACAGCAGCTCCTGACAATCTTAAAAACCTTCTTCTTTAAAAGCCTGCCTGAATAAAAAGTTTTAACTTGCCGTCCAAAGGAGGGGACCATTCTGGGCAGGACACCCACCAAGAAGGAAGGTCCGCTCTCTTGTTCCCACCAACTGAGCTTGAGATTGGGATGGGACTGAGAGAAGGACTACTTCTGAAGGTCTCGGGGCCTGGGCAAGTTCATAGAAGGGGATGTGGTTGGCCAAATAACCTGGACCGGAACCGTCTGGGGCTTTACCAGCACTTTCCCTTAGGGATGAACAAATTTCCCATTGCAGCCTACTTTGAACATCTACGTGAAAGGAATAAAGCAATGATCCTCTCTCTGTAGAATCCCCAAAAACTGTGTCAGAAAACAGTTCCGATATCCAACAGATAATTATTGTGGAGTCTATAGGAAACAAGCAATGCTCTAATTACAGTATCTCCTCGCATCTTCTTTTCAAGTAGATTTAGCTCTTTTGCTGATGCTAGAGAAAGCAATGTATGGAGTCAGTATCCTATTTCCTTGGGATTCATCCCTCTGACTTCAAATATCTCAATTTTCCTCTGCTGCCCTCTCAATACTGGGACTGGAAATGATGTCATAGCACTTCCTGTTAAGATTTCACAAAGGCTGTAACAAAATTGAAGTATTTGGGAGTAATAAGGAGTTGTGTATTAGAAGAGGCTTTCTGCCAGCTTTGGATGAAATACATCAGAAAAACATTCACATGTCCCTTCTACACTGCCATATCATCCAGATTAACAAAGTAAATAATCCATTTTATCTGCTTTGAACTGGATTATATAAGTCTACACTGCCATATAATCTAGTTCAAAGCAGATAATCTGGATTTTATATGGCAGTGTAGAAAGGGCCACGGTTGATTTAAAATACTTGAGTAGAAAAAAACGTCATCTAGTTTTAATATATTTAAATGTATTGAGTAAAATAAAAAAAAACATGTGTTGGACTTTTGAAGGCCAAATCAATTGGGATTTTTTTTTTTTTGCTCTAGATAAAGCAGACACAAGATGAAGAAAAGAAACAGCTTACTGCACTTAGAGACTTGATAAAATCTTCACTGCAGCTTGACCAGAAGGAGGTAAGAATCCCAGGCAAAATACATATAACAATTATGAACTAAAATAATAGACCAGTTACATTTGTTTTAAAAGTATTGTTCATATTGAGTATCCTTTATCCAAAATGCTTGGGACCAGAAGTATTTTGGATTATAGATTGTTTTATAAGTATAATGAGATATCTTGGAGACAGGCGCCAAGTCTAAACATGAAATTCATTTGTTTTATACACACCTCATACACATAGCTTGATTGTAATTTTATACAATATTTTTAAAATAATTTTGTGCATGTAGTAAAAATTTGTGCAGATTGAATAGTTGGAAAGCAAAAGTCTCATTATCTTAGCCACTCATGGTCATTTTCAGATTTTGGAATATTTTGGATTTCCAGATAAGGGATGCTCAATCTGTATGTACATTTAAGAACATAATGTGTGAACTCAAATACAGTTTGAGTAGGTTTTTACTGTAAGTGTTTGTGGTTTTAAACTGCTCCCTTTAAGGTCTGGGGGGGGAGAGTCATATCCATCTTGGAAGTAGGCTGCTCCTGGTGCACCTCCTGGTGGCAGGTAGGGGATTACACATGATGTCCACCCATATGGATCCACAAAAACCTGTCAATTCAGTGGTTACAGTACTTGGACTGGGGAGAATCTCGCTCATTGATATACAAGTGTGTTGATCAATGCCTAGGTCCAAAACCATGTGTGTATCTAGTTGTGGTCAATTCAAAATTGTGGGTGTGGTATCTTAATTGAGCAGAGCCCCTGAGCATACAAATAGCAACAGTTGAGCAAGAAAAAAGTGGCAGAATTTGTCAGTAGTGAAGAGGTGAAGGTGCTAAGGTATATGTGACCAAGCATTTAGATGCCTGAGTGCAAGGGAACTAACGTGAGTTTCCATAGTAGCAGATTGAGTACACAAGAGGCAGAATGAGCATATTTTGAGTTATATTGCAAGAAAAAGAAATCATGTTGAAGGGGATGTGATCCAAAAACAAAACAAAAAAACCCCAGAAACATTGTTTAGTTACAATCATTTCTCAGTTCATAGGACAATTGCCCGCTTGGAATCCATCCACTAATGCACAGAGGATGTGTTGGTGATAATGATGAGACTTGAGTTGTTTTTAGAAGTTCTGGCCCTTGTGTGGTACATTATTTTCAAAAATAGAACTTAAAAGCTGACAGTAGTCAGGTCATGCCTCTTTGAGACCCCAAATCGTTTAATGAAAATAAAAATAGCAAACAAGAGAGAAATAAGCTGGGGAAACTGAAGCTAAGTATTAGATGCAATAAATTCAAATTTTGAGAAATTCCCTTTGTATTCAAGAGAACCCAACCATTGAACTTGTTGCCGCTGATCCATAATAATCACACCACTCACCCCATTATATAATATGTGTTTCCTTGATCTTCGGTTGGCATACAAAGACATGTAGCCAGTTTTGAATGCCTTGTGCATGTAGCTGAGCAGCACCACTGGTGTGGACACTGTTTAAATGATGTAGCAGTTGCTTCATTGATTCTGAAACTCAGGAAGGAAATGACAATAAGAAATCTTTGGACCTGAAACCTATAGGGAGATGTACAGCCAAGAATAGATCACAAGACATGAGTGGCATAATAGATAAATCCCGTGAGAGTGACAAGTCAACACAATGTGTGTTGGAGCCTACACTAAAATTAGGAAGGACATCCAAGAACACAAAGGAGGCAGTGCCTTTGGATACACCCAAGAGAATGTTAAAGACTAGAGCTAGTTGCTGAGGAAACATAAAGCTGTGTTATGGAGTTATAGTAAAGCTTTAAGCAGGCAGCAAAGCCCAACACAAGAAAGTAAGGCTTGAGTCCCACTTATTTCCCTCCACCTTGTGATCCAAACTTAAACTTTCTAGCCTGTGCATGCTGAGAGGAGGGGGCACACATTTACAGCCTTTGTTTCAATACCTGATGGGACTTTCAGGGCCAAAAAGATTGACCACTCTGGTGCTTGCTGGTTAAACCATATAAGGCTGCAGCCACTTTGAACAATTTTAGTCTTTTATCAGAGGTGACTCGATGAGAACATCTGCCTCCTTAAGTAAATGAATTGATGTAACTGTCTGCTTTTTAAGCCTGATAATAGCATTGTCTGAGACCCTGATATAAAAAGAGATCACGAGGACAAGATATGCTTTGTCTTTGATTCTTGGTAGACATCTGACTTGCCTTATGTAAAAGGCACAGTTTAGAAACATGCAAAAGCTATTTTTGGCTCTAAAAAAACAAGGAAACATTCTAATTAGAATTGAAGCAGATGGTTTGCTTAATAAACCATAAAAATTGTACCTAAGTGAAAAACTAACAAATGTCTACCTTTTTTCATTAATTTTTATTTAAATATTTTGTACAATCTTTCTAATCCAACACATGCCTCTTAAGAGTTCGTGATAATTTCAGAATAAAAGATGACATTTTGTGAAAATATGCATTTGCTTTCCATTGTAGACACTTTGCATCTTCTGTAACAGAATTAACAGAATAGTAGAACATCAAAATTTTATGTATTGCTTTTTGTCTGTAAACCAGGAAAGGATCATACAGATCTCCAGATGTTGAATCACAGATCCCAGTATCTTTGTGTTGGTAGTGCTCCTGGAGCCCATAGTCCAACAGCTTATGGTGATGGACTGAATAATTATCAATGCTGATGCATATTAATACTCATGTTAAGAGTGGGGTACTTCAGTACCCCACACTCAAATTTTGTTGCAGAATTCATGCAGAACTAAACCTATAAGTTTACGTATATGTTACAGAAAAACATTTCCAGTTTTCGATCATCTATCATTAACAGGTTTTATTTTCTTTGTTTTGATTTTACTATAGACAACAATTGTGGCAACATATTTATTGCAGTTTTTGATTAAAGGGTGTAGCAGTGTTTCTCAAACTGTGCTCCTCCAGGTGTTTTGGACTTCAGCTACTAGAAATCCCAGCCAGCTTGCCAGCTGTTAGGAATTCTGGGAGCTGAAATCCAAAACACCTAGAGGAGCAGAGTTTGAGAAACACTGGTGCAGTGATTCTCAACCGGGTGTTTTTGGCCTTCAACTTTTGAGAAATCCGAACAGCTGGTAAACCGGCTGGGATTTCTGGGAGTTGTAGGCCAAAACACCCGAGGACCCACAGGTTGAGAACCACTGCACTGATATAAGGTATTGGGATGAAAATTGTCCTATCCTGTTCAGGCACGAATGGAGGGTGAAAGGGAGAAACATGTCAAGAGGAAGGCGCGTCAAGCCAACTCTAATGGGGACTGCCTTCCACCTAGAAGCCAATGTCTTTACTGTGGAAGAACATGTGGGTCAAGAATATGTATCCACTGCCAAGACACTACACTTGGAAGACCATCATACTCGAATAGTGAGGGATTGCCTAAATAAGCTGTTTTGTGGTTGACATGTGATACAGGCAACCTGCTGAAAGTGCTTTATAAGGAAACAACCTCTTTTCCTGCTTAAATTTGGAAGTCCAATAAATGCACAGTTGCTTGGGTCCTGTCAAGAAAGATCAAATGGACCATTGCAAGCAGTGCTGGAAGGATCTCGGCACAGTTCAGCATAGAGCATCCAGAGACATCATTCAGGAATGTCCAGGAACAACAAAGCAAGCAAATGAAGAAACAGTGCTAGAAACATTTGAGTCTTCTTCATGGTGGGCACTTTTTACCACATGGTCTGTGAAGCAAGATTCATATATTCAGGACTTGAAATGAGAGAAATGCTGTGATGAAGTAAGAACCTTCCCACCACTGTTACTTCTGTGGTAAGACAGGAGGAGAAAACTAGCAGATGGTGAACCAGGTGTTGGAAATTTGCTTGTAAGGACTATTGAAGCATTGAAGTGACATGTTCTAGTTGTCTGCAGAGTGGATGCTACATAGAATGGTTCTTCATTATGGGAAATTTCCCATAATGCTTCTGTTTTGTTTTTGGTGTAGAAAATTATACCACAATGCCATTATAGCTAAGGTTTTTTTGGCAAATAAATTCAAACGGCTATTTTCCTCCTGAGTTGATGTCTGTTTCTTAATTTTGGGAGACGCAAAACAAAAATGTTTTGTTCTCAGTTGGAAATAATAATGATCATAGTTTTTAATAGAAGCTACCATAATTGTACGATCCCTATATTAATGATGAATATATTCCAATACCCCTGTGGATATCTGAAACCGCAGATAATAGTTAACTCTATTATCTGGATGGAAAGCTTACTATAGAATTACACTGGAGTTGCCAGAGAGGCCCACAAACACTTCTTGCCAGAAGGAGTATTTTTTGGAGCATGGTAAATGAAACCATGCATATAGAGTTTGTAGATCATGGGGTTGAGCTATATAAGGGAGAGAGAAAATTTAATTACAGATAGGAATGTGTTACTGGCTGCTCAGAATGATTTGCCTCATGTGAAAATGATTTTTTTTTTACTCTGGATGTTTGAGTGTTGTTGAATATTGATTAATCCTACACCCACAAACAGTCATATGGGCAAGATGTGTTTTTTATCCCTGGAATGCATCAGAAAATATCGTGGATCTCTCTCAGGACAAGCCTTTTTTAAAATTCATATGGATGAGTGTTAAAACATTTTTGATGAAGCTTAATTATCATATTTTAATATGGATAAAGTAAAGTAAGCTTTCATTGAATGTAGTAATTACTTAATTTTTAAATGGCTCTACCTTCCTATAATGGTAAAATTGCATCCACCTGTAAGACAACGGATTATACTGACTGTGATGTTGCTACGACTGATAGTGTCTCCCTCATCAGACATGATTTTGCATAGGGCCCAGGCTAAATATGCTCTATTATGCATTGCGGGGAGGTACTAGGCATTTGCTGTTGTGGAAGATGACACTGGAGGAAGACTTATCAGAGACAGCTTCAGTACAAATTTATCCCAAGCTTGTTTAGACATCTCTTTGTTCTTGAAGATGTTGTTTGTTTAGATGTGTTCTCCAACAACTTCAGAGGCATAAGCCCCTCATAAAAAAGAAATTAATAGTTATGAAACCAGAATGTGCCAGTTTGTTTTGTTTACTTTTTGAGCTTTTAAGTGAGAGACACTTTCTTACTGAACCTTTTCAGCTGATGAAGTACCTTAGCTATATTTTTTCAAGGGGCTCCCTTTGAGCCTCCCCAAAAGTTAAAGTTGCCCTGCTGACATCTAAATGGGGGTGTGACCTCCCCAATATGTTTTTCAAGGTGCCACTATAGAAAATATGCACTTCCAAATGTCTAAAAATCATAAAATTGCTTAGGAATATACTGTTCTATGTATACAGTACTTCATTTGGGAGTGTCCCTTTTGAAGAGACTGCTACCATTCTTTTGGAATAACATATGCCCAGTTGTTCAAGTTAGTACTCTATCTTACTGAAAGGCTTCTTCGGTGTATTTCTGTGGTAGATAAATGATCAACATATAATAACACATGAATTATTTTTGTTTCCAGTTGTTGGAGGAAAAGTCAGTTAGCAATCATATTAGTCACAATGAAATGGAACAGGGAATGCGACCAGTTAGCACCGATGCCTAAAGATCTATTCTGATATTAACCCTTTAGGAAGATGTTATGTCAAAAAAAATTGAAAGCTTTTTTTTTTTAAATTCAGTTGAATGGTACCATTCAGAAAAACTGTTCTCTATTCCTGCCTAGCATATTGTATCTATGTAAATCTATTGCCCGCCACTCCCTGTGGCTTGAGATGGGGTACAACTTTGTTAAAACAATATATAAAATACGACTAAAACACATGCAGCACAATATACAGAATCATAGAATCATAGAGTTGTGGGCCATCCAGTCCAACCCCCTACCAAGAAGCAGGAAAATTACATTCAAAGCACCCCCAACAGATGGCCATCCACCCTCTGCTTAAAAGCTTCCAAGGAAGGAGCCCCCACCACACTTCGGGTCAGAGAGTTCCACAGTTGAACAGCTCTCACAGTCAGGAAGTCCTTCCTCATGTTCAGGTGCAATCTCCTTTCCTGTAGTTTGAAGTCATTGTTCCGCGTCCTATTCTCCAGGGCAGCAAAAAAAAAAAAAACAATAAAAAAAAAGAAGCTTGTTCCCTCCTCCCCTCACATCTTTATACATGGCCCTCATCTTGTCTCCTCTCAGCCTTCTCTTCTGCAGGTTAAACATGTCCAGCTCTTGAAGCTGCTCCTCATAGGGCTTGTTATCCAGACCCTTGATTATTTTAGTCGCCCTCCTCTGGACACATTCCAGCTTGTCAACATCTCCCTTAAATTCTGGTGCCCAGAATTAGACACAGTATTTCAGAGTTAAAATACAAGTTACAATTTATTCACATTATTGTTCTCAGTCTTTTGAATCCTTCTTATGTCATTAACATTGTAAAATAGGAGAATCAAAACTGTCATACATATTTATTTTTTGGACTGTGTGGTTTTAATAATTGGTTTTAATGTTGATATGTTTTTAACTTTTTAGTTTTTAATGTATGTGTTTATTTTATTGCATGTATGTTATGTGGCATCGAATTGTTGCCTACTAATAAATATTTAAGGGAATGTGACTGGAATGACAATATGGCTGATGAGACTGTTTTTACTGTTTTAACAATGGCTTATGTATTGTTAATTATCCTTTTATGTCTAATTGTGGTTTTAATTTTGTAATTCGTTATGTAATGGCTTCAGAATGGGGTCCATTGTAAGCCGCCCTGAGTCCCCTTTGGGGGTTGAGAAGGACGGAATAGAAATGAGAGAAATAAATAAATAATACTTGTAAGGCCGCTCTGAGTCTCCTTTGGGATGAGAAGGGTGGAATAAATATAGTAAATAAATAAATAATATTTATTACATGGATGTTTCTTTTAAAAATAGTCATTGGATACTATTATACTATGAACTTACTAAGAAAGCAGCCCCTGGTGCTGCAGTGGATTAAACAACTGAGCTGCTGAACTTGATGACCGAAAGGTTGCCGGTTCGACTCCAGGGAGTGGGGTGAGCTCCCATTGTTAGCCCCAGCTTCTGCCAACCTAGAAGTTCAAAAACATGCAAATGTGAGTAGATCAATAGGTACTGCTCCAGTGGGAAGTTACCGCTCCAGTGGGAAGGTTGCGGCGCTCCAAGCAGTCATGCTGGCCACATGACCTTGGAGGTGTCTACGGACAACGCTGGCTCTTTGACTTAGAAATGGAGATGAACACCAACCCCCAGAATCAGACATGACTGGACTTAATGTTAGGGGAAAACCTTTAACTAAGAAAGAATGTACAGCAGATAGCAATGTTATGCTGTTGGTTGTGTGAATGCTAGCAGAATAAATACAACTAACACACAACTAGTTTAATAAAACAATGGATTATGATACAGCTTATGCAAGGACTTTGACAAACAGAAAAAATAGTTTTTGCATGTACACTGGGATAGCCGTTCTTTTTTCGCAAGAGGTAGGATCCGTAACCTTAAGAAATGACTACAATTAATCCCTTGTTATGGTATCCCACACAGTTAGTCAAAAGTCAAAGCTGTTCTTTTGTGTTACGTCATGATAATGGCTTTGGCTTTTTTACTTGTGAAGGAGTTGGCTGACTAAGAATTCCCGAGTTTTGTTGTTTGCTCATACTTTCAACCAGTACATGTGGATATTGACAAGGTTCTATATTGTGTATGGGAACATGAAGACCTGCAGAGTACCAAAAGGTATAGGTGATTATTGCCGTACTGAATGATTAAGAGGTGTTGCTGTGTGAATTATCACTTTAACATGAAAGGAAAATCCACAGAGCAAGGGCAGAAGATCTAGAGCTCAGAGGAAGGTGAACATTTGGAAATATCACTAGAGTATATTGTGTTGTTGTTATTTATTTGTTTGTTTATTTATATCTCGCTTTTCTCCCATGGGTGGGACTCAAAGTGGCAAACAAATGGTTAAACAGAATTTTCATAATACAAAAGCACAACAACATACTCTGTAGTCCATTATCTCTCCCTGATTTATGTGCGTGTGTTTTTGCTTGTTTGTTCGTTTTGGCTTGTTTTGCTGTGTGTTAGACTAAGTACCTTCTGAGTATAAACCCTTCTGTTTTCTCTTTCTCCATTTTTTATTTATTTACTTCTTTGTATGAAACACTGGATCCCTTCTGACAAAATCTAACCTGGTGCTTCTCAGTTTGCAGAAACCTTTAAAGGTTTGTCTGCACCCATGAGGACAATTTAAAGGGTCAGAAAACCTGCTCAGAAGCTGGGTTTTGTGAAGCAGGTTCTGGTTGTGTTGGTTCATTTCAAGTGTTCGTTTTACCAGGATTATAGAAAACATGATGATTGATCGGGACTCAAAATTGTGGGAGTGGAACTAAAAATGCTTTAGTCATTTAACCCTGCCTGAATTACAAATGTGTAATGTCTAGGAAGGGTTATAGGTGAAATATCTGAAAATAATCTTGGGTCTACAACTCATGGCAGCGTTATCAGAAATGATAGTGCTATAAAATGGCTATTCTTTCCTGTTCTTCTGATTCCCCCCACCACCAAACATCCTTTCCATAGGGAATTGAGAAGCATTTTGTCACCTCAGAAGCTTTAGCTTGAGTCAGCCATACATTCTTGTTTCGTACTGCTTCTGTCCATGCCTTTCCTGCAGTCTGTGAATTATTAAAGTGACTATAAAATGCATTTGGCAATTAATACTGTCTTAAAATGTTCTGCTTTTTTCTTCCTATGTTGCCTTTGCCTTTCCTGATCGAAGTCTAGGAGAGTAAGTCATTGTTTAAATGAATCATTCTTTTCATAGTGAATTCACAGATCTTTCTGTTGCTGCATTTTTTTTTCATCAGGTTGTTTGTAGGTGTACAGTATTGCCATGTACATGTGTCTGTGCATATGTGCGCACATGAATAAGCTGAATTCCATTCCACTGCTTTAAAACCATGAACTAAATCAAATAGTATAACATGGTAAAGCTAGTTAAATAATTGTATGCTGTAAATGAAGGCCAGTCTGTTCATGTATTTTACTTGCTTCCATTAATAATTTCCTGACATCTGAATTTTATTTTGTACTAAACGTTCTGTAATTTTTAATTCAAAGCTTTCATCACCTTGTGAAAATGTGTCATAATCATTTACATAGTTAAAAAACCCAACAAAATATTTTCTGTGCCTGCAGGCAAGATCTTGCATTTTTTTTCATTGAGAATGTGTAAATGAAGAATGTTTGTGTAAAACAAAATTTATTTAAAAACTTAATTTTGAAAAGGGACATAATTGTTTATTTTTTCCCTTCCTTTTCTATAGGATTCCCAGAGCAAGCAAGGGGGATATAGCATGCACCAGCTTCAGGGAAATAAGGAATATGGCAGTGAGAAAAAGGGATATATCCTAAAGAAGAGTGATGGGTATGTACCAGGAGCATAAGACTGGATTAGAAGAACCAATTATTATAATAACTTAACTTAAGTGAGATTCAGTTAAAATGTATGAAAGCATTTCATAAATCTTGGTTGGATTTCATAAATCTTGGTCAGATGACTCCAGAGAACAACAGTAGCAGACAGATGTTTCAGGATCTTTATATAGCACTTTAAACATTGTATAAAATTTAGTATGTGGATAAATATAAACTATGTTTAATTATGCTAAATTATGGCTCAATTGCAATACGTGTGAAAAAAATCTTGGAGTCCTCATAGACAAGTTAAACTTGAGCCAACAATGTCATGTGGCAGCTAAAAAAGCCAATGGGATTTTGGACTGCATAAATAGGAGCATAGTGTCGAGATCTAGAGGGAAGTCATGCTACCCCTCTAGTCTGCCTTGGTCAGACCACACCAGGAATCACACTGTGTCCAATTCTGGGCACCACAGTTTAAGCGAAATGTTGACAGACTGGAATGTGTCCAGAGGAGGGCAACTAAAATGATCAAGGGTCTGGAGAACAAGCCCTATGAGGAGCAGCTTAAAGAGCTGGGTATGTTTAGCCTGCATTAGAGAAGGCTGAGAGGAGACATGGTAGCCATGTATAAATATGTGAGGGGAAGTCATAGGGAGGAGAGAGCAAGCTTGTTTTCTGCTGCCCTGGAGACTAGGACGTGGAACACTGGCTTCAAACTACAGGGAAGGAGATTCGACCTGATCATTAGGAAGAACTTCCTGACTGTGAGAGCTGTTCAGCAGTGGAACTCTCTGTCCTGGAGTGTGGTGGAGGTTCCTTCTTTGGAGGCTTTTAAACAGAGGCTGGATGGCCATCTGTCCAGGGGTACTTGGAATGCGATTTTCCTGCTTCTTGGCAGGGGATTGGAATGGATGGCCCACAAGGTCACTTCCAACTGTGTGATTCTGTTTCATAGAATCATAGAATCAAAGAGTTGGAAGAGACCTCATGGGCCATCCAGTCCAACCCCCTGCCAAGAAGCAGGAATATTGCATTCAAATCACCCCTGACAAATGGCCATCCAGACTCTGCTTAAAAGCTTCCAAAGAAGGAGCCTCCACCACACTCCGGGGCAGAGAGTTCCACTGCTGAACGGCTCTCACAGTCAGGAAGTTCTTCCTCATGTTCAGATGGAATCTCCTCTCTTGTAGTTTGAAGCCATTGTTCCGCGTCCTAGTCTCCAGGGAAGCAGAAAACAAGCTTGCTCCCTCCTCCCTGTGGCTTCCTCTCACATATTTATACATGGCTATCATATCTCCTCTCAGCCTTCTCTTCTTCATGCTAAACATGCCCAGCTCCTAAGCCGCTCCTCATAGGGCTTGTTCTCCAGACCCTTGATCATTTTAGTCGCCCTCCTCTGGACACATTCCAGCTTGTCAATATCTCTCTTGAATTGTGGTGCCCAGAATTGGACACAATATTCCAGATGTGGTCTAACCAAAGCAGAATAGAGGGGTAGCATTATTTCCTTAGATCTAGACACTATGCTCCTGTTGATGCAGGCCAAAATCCCATTGGCTTTTTTTGCCGCCACATCACATTGTTGGCTCATGTTTAACTTGTTGTCCACGAGGACTCCAAGATCTTTTTCACACGTACTGCTCTTGAGCCAGGCGTCACCCATTCTGTATCTTTGCATTTCATTTTTTCTGCCAAAGTGGAGTATCTTGCATTTGTCACTGTTGAACTTCATTTTGTTAGTTTTGGCCCATCTCTCTAATCTGTCAAGATCATTTTGAATTCTGCTCCTGTCCTCTGGACTATTGGCTATCCCTCCCAATTTGGTGTCGTCTGCAAACTTGATGATCATGCCTTCTAGCCCTTCATCTAAGTCGTTAATAAAGATGTTGAACAGGACCGGGCCCAGGACGGAACCCTGTGGCACTCCACTTGTCACTTCTTTCCAAGATGAAGAGGAAGCATTAGTGAGCACTCTCTGTGTTCGTCCACTTAAGCCAATTACAGATCCACCTCACCGTAGTTTTGCCTAGCCCACATTGGACTAGTTTCCTTGCCAGAAGGTCATGGGGGACCTTGTCGAAGGCCTTACTGAAATCCAGGTACGCTACATCCACGGCATTCCCCGCATCTACCCAGCTTGTAGCTCTATCGAAGAAAGAGATCAGATTAGTCTGGCATGACTTGTTTTTGATAAATCCATGTTGACTATTAGCGATGACTGCATTTGTTTCTAAGTGTTTGCAGACCGCTTCCTTAACAAGCTTTTCCAGAATCTTGCCCGGTATCGACGTGAGGCTGACCGGACGGTAGTTGTTTGGGTCATCCTTTTTTCCCTTCTTGAAGATTGGGACCACATTGGCCCTCCTCCAATCTGCTGGAACTTCTCCCGTTCTCCAAGAACTCTCAAAGATGGTTGCCAATGGTTCCGAAATGACTTCCGCTAGTTCCTTCAATACTCTGGGGTGTAGTTGATCTGGCCCTGGGGAATTGAACTCATTAAGAGCGGCCAGGTATTCCTGGACGACTTCTTTCCCAATTTGGGGTTGGATGTCCTCCAATCCCTCATCCACTCCATCTTGCTGAGGTTGAAGACTTTCTTTTTGTGAGAAGACCGAGGCAAAGAAGGCATTAAGTAGTTCTGCCTTTTCCCTATCCCCTGTCAGCATTGCCCCATCTTCTCCTCGAAGAGGTCCTATCGCCTCCTTGTTTTTCCTTTTTCTACTGACATAAGAATAGAAGCCCTTTTTATTGTTTTTAATGTCCCTGGCAAGTCTGAGCTCGTTTTTTGCTTTAGCCTTGCGGACCTTTTCCCTACAGGTGTTGGCTATTTGTTTGAATTCTTCTTTGGTGATTTCTCCCTTTTTCCACTTCTTGTGCATGTCTCTTTTGTGTCTTAGCACAGTTAGAAGTTCTTTGGACATCCATTCTGGCTTCTTTGCACTTGTCCTATTTTTTCTCTTTGTTGGCACGGTTTGCAATTGCGCCTTGATTATTTCACTCTTGAGAAATTCCCATCCATCCGTAACTCCCTTGTCTTTTAGTATCTGTGTCCACGGAATGCTGCTCAGCGTTTCCTTCATTTTTTGGAAATCAGCTCTCCTAAAGTCCAAAATGCGGGTTTGACTTGTCTTAGTTTCGGCCTTCCTTTGTACCTCAAATTCTTCTATAACATAGATTCTGAGGAGGCAAATGCAGAGCCAATATTCCCCTCATTCATTAAAATCACCATCCTATGGACTGTAATATGCCTTTACAAAAAAAATAAAAGTCAGCCAAATATAAGAAAATATAAGTAGATTAGACTCTTCATTTCTTGTGCTATCCAGATAGTTATTTGTTTACATCTGTCACATTAAGACTGGCATCCAGCAATTGATTATTTTGGGAAAACTTTCACTGAAATTAATGTGCTTCATGTGGGATTGTAGCTCACATGAAACACATGATAGGACTTAATGCAAAGAAAATTAGACACAGTACTATTAAATAAATAGCATGTTGAATTTGGGAGAAAAGTGGGGTATAAATAAAGTTACTAAAGAACACATAGCATTCATAGCTTCATGGCCTGTGTTCTATGAAGCTAAATCACATGGTTGATCACAGAACAACCAAGAAGAAAAATTAATGTATACTGTACACTTCAGAAAGGATATATAGCTCTAGGATAACTATCCTTTGATTACAGCAGTAAGAAAGTTGGTTGAGATGTGCCTTATGATGTGGTAGAACACGTGATTTTGGCCTCATTGAAATGAGTCTTTATCAAGGATGAACCATTTCCATAACTAATTAAATTAGGCTGCTACCATAGTTCTACCAGGTGTTTAGACAGTATGATCTATGGGAGCAAGTGTGACTGGTGTGTCTTTGTATCCAACATTTTCCTGCTTGAATCTCCAGTTAATCATTATAGTGTGTTAATGTGTTTAAAAATATGTAACAATGTAATTGCTTCTTAGAAGCCTGAGAGATTTGAGATGTGCAAAATACTTAAACATACTTACAAGCGCTGTTATGAAAAATAGAGTATTCATTGAATTTATTTTTTCACTGTGTCACATTCTTTTAATGTTTAGACTACGGAAAGTTTGGCAAAGAAGGAAATGCACTGTCAAAAATGGCATTCTAACTATATCACACGCAACTGTAAGTAGTTTTACATTTTGCTCTTACAACAATATTGTTTTCTGTGTCAGTGAATGTAACCATTTTAGTTCAGTGAAATATTAAGTTGGATCCAGAACTGTTTATACATAGATTACTATAGATAGGTCACATCCCGCCTCGACTACTGCAACGCTCTCTACGTGGGGCTGCCCTTGAAGACGGCCCGGAAGCTTCAGCTAGTTCAGCGCACGGCAGCCATGTTACTAACAGGAGCGGGACGCAGGGAGCATACAACGCCCTTGTTGTTCCAACTCCACTGGCTGCCGATTTGCTACCGGGCCCAATTTAAGGTGCTGGTGTTATCCTACAAAGCCCTAAACGGTTCCGGCCCAAAATACCTTTCGGACCGCATCTTCGGCCTATGAGCCCACGAGGGCCTTGAGATCGTCTGGGGAGGCCCTTCTCTCGATCCCGCCTGCCTCACAGGCACGTCTGGCGGGGACGAGAGAGAGGGCCTTCTCAGTGGTGGCCCCCCCGGCTGTGGAACACCCTCCCTGTTGACATCAGACAGGCGCCCTCCCTTATGGCTTTTCGTAAGAGCCTAAAGACCTGGCTATTCGAGAAGGCATTTAATTGAGCCACTCGAATCTGGTAATGACATTGGAACGGACTATGGATTATGAGATTGGTAGGCTCCTATGTTGTGACGGTGCGGATTAGTTAGTATAATTTAGATTGATTGTGTAATTATGGCTTGTTGATGTATTGTGTGTTTTTTGTAAAATGTTTTTATATGTTGTACACCGCCGCGAGTCGCCCTAGGGCTGAGAGCGGCGGTCAACAAATGCATCAAATAAATAAATAAATACTATCCTCTTTACTCTAATGTGTGTAACATAGAAAGACGCGACTGAACTTATGAAATATTTTGTTAGTGTATTTTTCCGTATTAGCATAAAAAAAACAGAATTGGAATTAACCTGTTAATAATGTAGAAATATTACTTTTTCATCTCATTCAGTAAATCAAAGAGCTCTGCTTCTTCAGGAGAAGAAATGTTAAAATTTGATGGCCATGCCTTGGATAGACTAATCTCTGTGATTTTTTTAAAAAAAGATATTATCAGTAGAATGTTCTGGAGCCTAAGTCAGATAGTTAGGTCAGTGGAGCAGAAGAACAGCTGAGTTTTGAGAAAAAGGAACAAAAGTGTGTCTTGAAAGGGAACATGGGATAGACACCATTTGTTTGCTTAGCAGGGAACTATAACCTTTAGGCAGCCAGAGACCTTCAGAATGACTCCCAAGAGCATGGGTGGAAGGAAGGTATTTGGAGTATTCTGAGATACTGGAGTGCTTTGTGACAACTTCTCCTATATTCATTTTCTTCATTGCTTCCTGTGGTAAATTGTGTTTATAACCCCCTAGTGGTGCAGCGAGTTAAACTGCTGAGCTGCTCAACTTGCTGACTGAAAGGTTGATTGTTAGAATCCGGGGAGCGGGGTGAGCTCCCTCTGTTAGGCACAGCTTCTGCCAACCTAGCAAGTCGAAAACATGCAAATGTGAGAAGATCAGTAGGTACTGCATCTGCAGGAAGGTAATGGTGCTCCATGCAGTCATGCGGGCCACATGACCTTGGAGGCATCTACGGACAATGCCAGCTCTTCAGCTTAGAAATGGAGATGAGCACCACCCTCACAGTTGGACACGACTAGACTTAATGTCAAGGAGAAATCTTTACTATCCAATTATGTAATTTTTGAAGGCTTTTCAGAAAGACTTTAAGGCCCTCTAGGAGGTCTGAGTAAATTGTCTTCAGTAACTCAATCTCCCTCACTTATTATATTCTGGGCTGACTTCTGTGGTGTATGATTGTAAAATATATATTAGAATATTGATTGGGATGAGCTTCAGTGAACTTCTGTATGGTTCATTAGTGTATTGCTCAGTACAGTAGTACTAGCCCCTGGCCAATTTTAGTGACTTTTCCCCCTTTCAAGCTCATTATTTTTTCATTCTTGTCTTATCTCTCTTTCTCATCTCCCTCTATCTCATCAGTTTTCCCATTCTTTTTACACATCCCTTCCTCCTCCTCTTACTTTCTCCCTTTTAATTAAATAATTAAGGGAAGATGGGTGTCAAGCAGAGTGGGCTTGTTAAATACCTTGACCATTGAAACTGCAGATGTCAGATTTTATATGTGATTCCTAGCTCTGAAGTACACCAAATGTTGTTGTTTCCAGGAAAGGGGTGAAGGCCTTATTTTTATGACGTTTCTCTTATTTTTCTCAATTTAAATAAGGTTTTCATTTCTGTTACTATTGTTTATATGCCTTGGTTATGAGATATTTGGCATTTGTTTATTTAGATATCATGCAATCTTAACAATAATGGGTACCTTTTCCTTGTAGTCCTGATAAGAAAAAACAAACCCTGCAACCCTTTCTGCCTTCAGCCATTGTGTCCCACATATATATTTATGAAGATTAAGCATGAGTACTCTGAATTCTTGCATCCTTTATACTACAAGGCACTGTTTCTAACTAGTCTATGTGGATTTTTTAATTATGCTGAAATCAGAAACAGCAAAACTATCTGCAGAAAATGTGTTGTCAAAGTTTTTCATGGCTGAAATCACTGGTTTGCTGCGATTTTTTCCGGGTTATATGGCCATGTTCCAGAAGCATTCCCTCCTGACATTTCGCCCACATCTATGGCAGGCACCCTCAGAGGTTGAGGGGTGTGTTGGAAACTAGGCAAGTGAGGTTTATATATCTCTGGAATGTCCAGGGCGGAAGATAGAACTCTTGTCTGCTTGAGGCAAGTATGAATATTGCAAATGGCCACCTTGTTTCGCATTGAACGGCCTTTCAGCTTCAAAGCCTGGCTGGTTACTGCCTGTGGGAATCCTTTGTTGGGAGGTGTTAGCTGGCCCTCATTGATTCGTGTTTGGAATTCCCCTGTTATTGTTTTTAGTGTTGCTCTTTGTTTACTTTCCCGAATTTAGAGCTTTTTGTAATACTGGTAGCCAGATTTTGTTCATTTTCATGGTTTCCTCCTTTCTGTTGAAATTGTCCATGTGCTTGTGGATTTCAATGGCTTCTCTGTGTAGTCTGGCATAGTGGTTGTTAGAGTGGTCCACCAGATGCTCTGCTATGGCTGACTGCTCTGGTTGAATTAGTCTGCAGTGCCTTTCATGTTCCTTGATTTGTGTTTTGGCAGTGCTGCTACATTTGGTGGCCCCCATGTAGACTTGTCCACAGCTGCATGGTATACGGTAGACTCCTGCATTGGTGAGAGGATCCCTCTTGTCCTTTGCTATCTGCAGAAAGACAAGTGTCTCATGATTATGATTATAATTAGAAAAAGTGAATTCACTGGAGGTGCTATGAGTTTGGGCCACCTTCTGAACACCAAGTGTTACACATTTCACTGGTCACTCATTGTGATTGTGTCGTGACAGTGCTGTAGTAATTTCTGATTATTGGTTAGTAGACTATTTAAAATGCCATTACACGATAGTTGTTTGTCTTTGTATTTTTAAAAAAATGTTACGTGCTTTTCTGAAACAATCTTTCTCCTGATGTTTCATTATTTGGTCTCCAGTACAATTAAATAGCCTCAAGAGGAATTTCCTTTTCTTTGGCGAACGTTAAATGGATCCTAGCCATTGTACTGAAAATGTCAAGTAGGAACACTGCTGTTTTCAAAACAAGTTCATCCTGAAATGTCATCTAGTTGTATGGACTAGTTTGCTTTGTAGATCAACTGTTTAGAGTTCACAGATTGGACAGAGCATGAATGTGTTTACTTGACTTGATTACTTGTAGAATTATTAAACTGAAGAAAAGGTATAAAATACTGCTTGTGTATCAGTATTTCCTTTTTAAAAATTAGCAATTATATTATATGAATGTCATGTGAGATCATTATGTACTGTTACATTCAATGGACCTTGTGTCCACAGCCCCACCTTCTTTCCCATGATCTATCTGATCACCAAGTTCCTGTTTGAAGGGAAATTAAAGTTAGTTATTGAAAATGAACTGGTGAATTTTAATCTGTGTAAGGATGTCAAACAAGGTTTGATTTTTGTTTTTTAAGACATGGGCCCCATTTACACTGCCATATAATCCAGTTTCAGAATGCAGATTAGCTGCATTAAATTGGATTATATGGCTGTGTAGATACATATTATCCAGTTCAAAGCAGTTGATCTGCATCATGAAACTGGATTATCTGACAGTGCAGAATGGGACCTCACGTAATTTGTGATTAGAAATTCTAAACTCTGTTCTCCTGGAAACCAGGTGAAGAGTATATACTTTTAGTCTTTACTCTGAAGAAAATGGATTATTTTTCAGCCGATGTTTGTAACATGATTAGAAGCAAGGTTCAAACAGTATATTAAACATGACTGTGGTTATTTTTCTGTTTTCTGTGCAAGAGAAATTAGCTGTAAGTACTGGTAGCATATAGGGCCCCTGGTGGTGCAGCAGGTTAAACTGCTGAGCTGCTAAACTTGCTGACCAAAAGGTTAGCACTTTGGATCCGGTGAGCAAGGTGAGCTCCCACTGTTAGGCCCAGCTTCTGCCAACCTAGCAGTTTGAAAACATACAAATGTTATTAGATCAATAGGTACCGCTTCAGTGGGAAGGAAATGGCACTTCATGCAGTCATGCTGGCCACATGACCTCAGAGGTGTCTACAGACAACGCTGGCTTGACTTAACGTCAAGGGAAACCTTTACCTTTTTTTAATGGTAGTACAGAAAAAGAGAAGAGCAAGTTGTGAAGGAAATGATGTCTGTAAAGGGGAAGAAAAAGATGGAGATTCAAATTTCTTATTACCTCTTAAACATGGTGAAGAGTTTGCCGAAATCACTTTTGCACAAAGTTAGAGTAGCTTGTGGTCACTACTAAGGCTTTGTATTAATATGTAATTTATTATGTTGTTGTTTGTGTTTTGATTTCATTTATTGTATTGCGTTGTTGTGCTTGGCCTCACATAAGCCACCCTGAGTCCCCATCGGGGAGATGGTGG